CCTCAATGTAAAGCCTGAAACTCTGAAACTGTTAGAAGAAAACCTTAGCAAAAACCTACAAGATATAGGTGTAGGAAAGAGTTTTCTAAACAGGACATCAATTCCTCAGGAAACAAGGGCAAGAATTAACAAATGGGACCTCATTAAACTAAAAAGCTTCTGTACATCAAAGGAGGCAACCAGGGAAATGAACAGAAAACCCACAGAATGGGAGAAAATCTTCACCAGCGATACATCTGACAGAGGTTTAATATCCAGAATATATAACAAACTCAAAAAACAGAGAATCAAGACAAGAAGTAACCCGATTAAAAGATGGGATAAGGGGCTGAACAGAGAGTTCTCAAAGGAAGAAGTAAAGATGGCTATGAAGCATCTTAAACGATGTTCAACATCCCTAATAACTAGGGAAATGCAAATTAAAGCCACTTTAAGATTTCATCTTACCCCAATCAGGCTGGCTAAGATCAAGAGAACAAATGATACCAAATGTTGGAGAGGATGTGGGGAAAGGGGAACACTCATCCACTGCTGGTGGGGCTGCAAACTGGTTCAACCCCTACTGAAAGCAGTGTGGAAAACTCTTAAAAAACTACAAATGAACCTACCATTTGACCCAGTTATACCACTCTTTGGCATATAACCAAAGAACTCATCCTATTGCAGAGTCACTTGTACATCCATGTTTGTTGCTGCTCTTTTCATAATAGGTAAGAGATGGAAGCAACCTAAGTGTCCCTCAATTGATGAGTGGATAATGAAAATGTAGTTCATTTATATGGTGGAGTTTTACTCAACAGTACAGAAAGATGAAATTGTGAAATTTGCAGGTAAATGGATGGAACTAGAAACTATTATACTAAGTGAAGTAACACAGACTCAGAAAAAAAATTGACGTATGTTCTCCCTCATATGTGGATCCTAGAACCAAACACTGATAAGTGAATATGTATCCAGACATAACTACAGGAACCAGGATAATGGAAAGGAAACAGGGAGGTAAAGGAAAAGAAAGACCCTGACAGAGAAGAACCATAGGAAACAGGCATTAATAAGGGCGATATGGATAAAAATTGGGTTAGTTTAAGGGAGAGGGGAGGGAAGGGTATACAAGGAATCTAGGGGATAAAGGGAAAGAAGGAGCTCAAGAGAGGTAGGACCGTAGGAGAAGGATTTTATTAAGGGAGAAAGGGGAAAATGGGGGCACCTTAATGGGGGAAACCATGATGGAGGGGTGAGACAATGCAAGAGATAAATAATGGATAGCTAGTTTTAAAAAACCAGAGGGAACCATATTTCTCCAGCAACCTACTGACAAATTATACATACCAGATATGTCTAGGTAAGGTTTATCTGAGAACAATTGGGCTTTGCCCAAGATTTATCTACGTGGCACACAGTAATTAAAAGTACCAGACTGGTGGAACTAACCTTCTTGGATGTTTAACAGATATACTTTGAGGCCTATACTAATTTGATCAGAGGGACATAAAGAAAAGGTTTTGCTTCTTGTCCTCCAAGGTTGACTAAATTCCAGTGGACTGTGGAGCATCTCTGAAAATGTCCTGTAACTGTGGTGAGTCATGTGTCCTCTTGTTCAGGGAGGCCATGGAGACCCCACCAGATGGACTTGAACCAGTGTCCAGTCTACAAAGAGGAGGGTCAACTCAGAGGAAACATTTCCTTCATGCTTCCAAGTGAAGCCAGACATGGTCAAGCAGATATTGACTTAACTGTCACATAGATGGAACTGTTAAAAGGAGCCAGGGGCTCCTCCCAAGCCCATGTGACCCCTGAGGAACAGATCCTCAAATGATCTTAAGAGTAAAAATAAATTGATTTATTTGGGCTGACCGTATGGTCTTAAACACCCAAAGGAAAGTATAACCAAAGATTAAAGTGATCAGTATATTTCTTTAAGAGCTCAAGGGATTACGCTTCTCAGGCATTAGACTTAAGTCCATATAAAATGTTAGACAATTATTTCTCATTGATGATTTTGTTTCTAACCAGAAAGTGCTGCTCAGATGTAAGACTTCAAATCTTGGTCTGCAGTACTGTAGTGCCCACCTGTAGCTAAGGGAGACAATCTGCTATTGTTCTAAAGTGATGGCTAATTTTTTTTCCCCTATCTAGCTGCCTTTGTGAGGAACTGACACTGATTCTAGCCACTCCAACAGCTATCAAAGTGGCTAAAAACAAATCCTGAGCCCATCGCTCTCGAGTCCAGCCTTGGCGGACAAAAGAAAAATGAGGAGGAACCCAACAGAGGGATGCTTTTGGAAGGTCTCGTCAAGAAATTCCAGTGGTCTCTGATATGAACTTTTGAAATTGCCCTGTTCCAACTTTTTTCTCTCTGTCTAGAACTTGTAATGCTAGCTACTCTTGCCTTTACTTCTCCTTCATGTCTCCTATTCACCAGTCAAGGACTTTCTCTTCCCCTTAGAGATAAGAGTTATGCAATTTGGGAGTCTTTTATATAGACCCACTGAAGGGGTACCCCAATTGCCTCACCCTGCATCCTTATTTAGCATGGAAGAAACCAGAGTGGTCTATGTCCTGATTCCCTATCGGCAATTTGGGTAATCTCTTCAGAGGATGGTGTGGTAAGAATAGGAGGTAGGAATTGCCTAGGCAGTTAGGGTAAAAAGACCCCAAAGAAAAGTAGCCAGTTTCTTGGCTGAAACTCACAATGTCCTTGGGCCTCTTAGCAGCATATGCTGTTCCAAAGGCCAAAAATCTCAAAAGTATTTGGGAGTGCTTATCTAGTCGCTAAAATATTTTAGGGTTACCTCTTCAGAGGGGGGAATGTTAGAGTAGCAAAAAGCTCCATAAAAAATAAAATAAACGTCACTCACCCAGGGCTCAGGGACCATTGAGGAAGAGGGAGCGGAAAGATTGTAAGAGCCAGGGAGGAGGGGGAAGACCATATGGAAACAGTCCTACAAGCTCCTGGGACCCTGCTCATATGCTTCTATGGCAATGGTGTCAGCATACACAAGTCCCATGCAAACTCAGGCAGACAAAAACCCTGCACAGAACTGGAGAAATGAACAGCAGACCCCAGTCTTAGCTGAAAAAACATTGGCAACTGATTTCTGCTAGGTGAGGAAGTGATGATCTTCCTAAATCAAGAGACTCTAGATGGGCTGACTAGCCCTCAGTGGATGGACTTGCACTGGAGAACGCCTGGGGACACAGACCTGACACATTGGGCTTTAACACAAATGACAGAGTATATGGGTTCCAGTGGAGGGGGCTATGGGAGGGTGCCAGTGGGGACGGGAGTATAAAGATGATTAACACTGTCTGAGATAGTCTGTATAAAATACACAAAAATTCAATAAAAACATTTTTAAAAAATCAGAAAATAAAGAAATACCAACCTTAAAAAAAAAGGCTAAGATAATTGGGAGGATGATCAAAATGAAAATTACCTAAGAAAATGACCTGGAAAGGGATTTCTTTGGTCAATGACATTGCCAGAGGCTGTCATGGTGTATTGGTCATATGTCATGTGTGTTTCCATCCTTAATAAGGACTTAAGGGGCTGGAGAAATGGCTCAGTGATTAAGAGCCCATACTGCTCTTCCAGAAAACCTGAATTCAATTCCCAGCAACCATGCCAGGCACCTTACAAACCACCTGTAACTACAGCTGCTGGAGGATCCAGTCTTCTCGCTTCTTTGAGCACCTGCACTCACATGCACATTATCCCTACCTCCCCTCTCCACACACACACCATTAAAAGTAAAAATCATAAAAATTTAAAAAAGGATTTTAGACAGAACAGCTGACAAATCAGTTAGGTACAACGAAAATATGAATGTGTCTCATAGAACGAACCAGGCTTGTGACCCATCACCAAAGCACTCAAGCAACAGACACTGACCTGTGACAGCTCTTTTTACCCAAGAGGTAGCAATACTGGGCATAGAAGAAAGAACTTTTCTTGATACAGATTCCATCATAATGATACCTAAAAAACAGAGGTTGTCTTTAAAATTATGTCCATTTACATGCGTTGTAGGAAAGCTCAGAGCATGCTGGGTAATAAACACCTAGGTTTGTGCATTAACTCAGTTGACTTTAACAATGCTCACAGCCATTCAGTCTTCCCAAGCTCTGTTAAACTGTAAATCATGTCATATTCTAGACTATCCTGGACTTGGGATGGCTCAACTTTTTGACTTCATGATGATCTGACAAAAGATCTTTTGATTTTGTGTAGGTGCAGAAGCCATATACATACTTTGAAGAAATCATACCATAAATTTAGAATTTGGATGGTTTCCCAGGCTAGTAATAAAAGGGATGATAGTCATGACACGAGGCAGCAGGAGTGTGCCCTGGGATGTGGGGGAAATGACCTACACTCTACAGTGTGGTGTGTGGTTCTCTTCAGGGGGGCAACAGGGTGGTTAAGTGTACCAGCTGCATCTTTAACAAATCATAAGTCCCTTCATGGGCAAGAGCCTGGAAATGGGTTGCTGGATGCTCAGCTCTTCTCAATTTCAAACACTTCCATCATATAGTGATACCTTAGCCTCCCATCCTGCCACCCTTTGCCTTTCTAAGTTTCCCTATGCTCAAAAAAAACTAGGCTTCTTCCTCGAAGCCCTGCCTCCTCTGTGGAACTCAGGAAACCAGCAGCTCACAATAGGACCAGACTTCTTCAGCTTTATCACCACCCAAGGTTAGAGTTGGCAAACTCTCCTCTTCAATTCCTTCATGGGCAGACAGCTCTTTAACTTGGCTTCTGTCCCTGCTCACTGATTTTCCATCTTGATTTAAAACAAACAACAAATGACAATGAAAATTGTGTGGCATTTATGATTAGAATGCGCTTGATGAAGCTGGAATTTCCTTTTCTGTGAAAATCATAACCTTAGGTCCCAGCATCCTGAATATAATTGATATGCTAATTGGAAAAATACTTAGACATTTTAGTTCAAAGATAATTAAAGCAACTGGCATCATTCTATGTGTGTAATTTTTGAAATATTTCAATAATTACATATTTGGATGTCTAAACATTTAAAATAGATCTTCATATTTTAACAAAATTTTGAAGCAAATAAAGCCCAGTATTTGTATGTAGTGCTTCCCAAATGAATGATTAAATCTAAATTACGGCACTATTGGGTAAGAATTATTACTTCTAGCTTATTTTATAACTGACATTTTGTCACTTATTGTGATTCTCCCCCCATCTTTATTTTCACTATTTAAAATAAAACAAACATTATAACCCTACCTGGCACTTCCTCTTGTCCCCAGCCTCCGGGTGCCAAGATCAGGAAACACCAAGTGCACGAGCTACAAGAATAAGTCAGAGCGAGAGATGCGACCTGAAACTCTTAAAACAGTGTCATATCTTACCATTTTTTACTTATATTTAGTCTTTTTCTGATTATAAAGAATATACACGGAAGTGAAGTTGAAAGAACAAATCAGACAAATAAAATACGCTACTAAGAGAAGAGTGCTGTTTAAACTTCCATGTTGAGACTGTGGTGCGGCATCACAGTGGTAGTATGTGCTTCCTGGGTAAGGCCCTGGCTTCGATTCCCAACACCAAGACTCTGAAAGTTCAGTGGCATTCCTCCTGGTCTTTGTTTTGAAGATGCAGTGTGTGTTTGTGTTTTATGGGTTTCTACTAACTGGCATCTGATGGTGTGTTCAACCTTCCATTCTACTGTTTCAACACTGAACCAACTTGAACCTTTAAATATTTTCTAGAAATTGAGTTAGCAACAGATGGATCACAGTCTAGCCTGGGGGCTGCTGTAGTTTTATTACCATCTCCCCCCTTTTCTGATGTCATAGTCGTTTTTACTCTTTCTCATCCCTTTGTTTACCTCATTTTCTCACTTCCAAGGTTTTTATAAGTGAATGTTACTAAACTATTGAACAACACAGCCGCTATGATTCCAAGTCTTATCTCTGGGCTAAGGTACCTCCACGTGTCCTGTGTTTGAGAACACTTGTTTTGCACTTATCAATAGAAATCTGTTCCAGTTGCTTTATCAAAGGGTTAACGACAAGCACAGTATCCAGACCCATGCCTGCTGAAAGCAGAAATCCTGCTTTATGGAGAAATTTGCAAACACAGAGTAGGGAAATCTACAGTCACTTGATATGCCGAGCAATGTCTGCCCTTTTTCTTCAGAGTCTTTTGGCCCAGCTTCTGCTTGGCTGCATTCTGCATCCCTGTTTTTTGTATTAGTTCTGCAGCACTTATACTTATCTGACTCTGAGCCCTTCTTCTTCCTACAGGAAGCAACCCAAGCGTGGGCATGAATGAAGCAATGAGAAGGCAGGCAAGTGTCTTGCAGGGAAGACCCAAGTGACGGGAGGCCAAAGCCAAAGTCAGTCTAGTGTAAATGCAGATTTAAAACCAGATACTCTGGGACTGGAGAGATGGCTCAGTGGTTAAGAGTGAGTTCGGTTCCCAGCACCCATGTTCCCACAACCATTTGTGACTCCAGCTCCAGGGGAATCCAATCCTTCTGGCATGTGAGGGCACCTGCATTCATGTGCACATTACCTGCCCCCAACCCTGCCACACCCAAACATACACTTAACTTTAAAAAAAATTAAAAAATAAATAAAAGTCAGATACTTCTAAAGTGTTCTCTGTGACACAAGGTCACTTAGTGTCTTTCTGTGTATCTAGTTGTAAGCCACAATGGAGATACAAATCACACAGCTGGGAGAGGTGGTACAGCCTGCGACCTCAGCTTTAGGGTGACAGCAGGAGGTGGATGGAGAATTTGAGGTCAGCCTGGGCCTCTTTGTGAAACCCTGCTCCTCCCCATCCTGAAAGGAATAAAAATAGACGGCGGTTGAAGAACTTATTAGAGAATGGGCACCAGGCGCAGATGGAAGACTCAGAAAATACTCTGACATTTTGAAAGGAAAAGCAGAAGAAAACCGCTTGTTGTTTGGAAACATCATAATTTACATATTTTATATTAGCAAGTAACTCCAACCCCTGACTATCCTGTAATTCCATTTTACAGTCACATCACAGTAAAAATGAAAAATACAACTGGTGTGATTACTTGCAAAAAGCATAATTAAAATTATATCCTTAATATAGACAGAACTCATCAAAATCAGTAAGAAACATATGACTACTATTGCTAATCTGAAAATCCAAAACCTGAAATCCTCCGAGGCGCAATATAGTTAAATATTTTTCTTAACCATGGTAATAACATAAGAAATTTGATTGTGGGATTGGTGCTATTAAAAATTATGCCATATTCCCCAAAAAAGGTGTGGTGGCACACATCTTTCATCCCAGCACTTGGGAGGCAGTGGCAGGCTGTCTCTGTGAGATAGAAGCCAGCCTGATCTACATAGTGAGTTCTGGGCCAGTTGAGGCTATAAGGAGACCCTGTTTCAAAAAAAACAAAAACAAAACAAAACACCCCAAAAATTATGCCATATTACATTCTATCCTTTGTCTATTATCTATCTATCCTCTATTGATACCTCCCTCTCTCAGGTGAGGTTTCCAACAGGAAGCTGATGACCTTCTCAACTAAAAATCATTGATGAAAAGCTTAATAAAAAGGGTTCTTATGATATTAGTGGTCAGGAGTTATGGAAAAAAAAAGAGATCCTGCAGTACTTATACCCAGAAGAAGAGACAAAATCAAATCAGGAAGGAGGTCTCAGAGGGATCTATGGATCTCCTATCTATCTATCTATCTATCTATCTATCTATCTATCTATCTATCT